TGACAATCGGACTGCTGTAGCTCATCCTCGTAGAAGTCACCTGGAAGGCACAAGTTATCCCCTTGCTGCAGGAAAGATTTTCCATCAGGCACAGTGGGCGTTTCACAGTCTCCCCAGGATGCTGAGGCAGCTCCCAGGACATTTCTTTCATGCCAGAGCCATGTCCATGTTTTTTTTTCTGACCCTCTGGCATTGTGCAGGCCCAGAGATTTCATCCCCTGCTTCCCACAGCACTTGGTCCACCAGCACTGGGTTCCCCCACAGCCCCTGTCTCCCATAGGACACTCTCCAGGTCCCATGGCTGGAGGTTTTAGGGCCCTGCACTGCTGGATCCAAGACTGATGTGGCCACCACGACCACCCCACTGGGACTCAAGCCAAAGCCCACCTCAGTTTTTTTATATGCCATGGACAAAGGTTTAAGCTCACATTCCTGCCCATGGCTGAGGGACAGAATGTGCTGTAGCCAACCCTTGCTCATCTCCAGCCACCCATCCCTTTCCTCAGCTGCCTTTGGTGTGCACAGCCCACAGCTGTAGGGCTGAGTGAGCACACAGGTGAATGGGATCAAAGGAGAAAAACCCCAGATGAAGGGCAGGGACTCGGGGCTGGGTGGTGGAGGGAAAGCCCATGGGAGAATTAGACTTTGGGAGTGTGTGAAACACAGTGCCTTGAGGGAAAGGTGGGTTTGTAATGGAAAAATAGCTCTGGCTCTCTTGCACTTTAGAGTAACTCTCAGTGGCCTTATGTCTGAGTCATGTCGCTGTTTGGTGAGGGCAGGATCCACACCCCTCTGCAGCAGGGGTTGAGACACCTGGTGCATCCCTGTGGATGAAGCAGGATGGGTTCCTAGCCAGCTTTCAGCTCTGCCAAAGTAATTTGTGAAGTTCCTGGTAAATGTCACGTATTTATGTAGCCAATAAATGTTGGATAACTCTGGCACCTGCTGCTCATCCCTGTTGTGCTGCTGGGCTGCAGGTGACACCCCCGGAGCTGAGAGGACAAGGATCTGCTTGCAGGTCCTCACCTGCCCCCCAAAAGAGTGACACAAGACATTTATGACTTCAGCAGAAGCCCACTTTGGTGTCCTCACCAGACTGAAGGCTGGGCTGCAGATGGATTTGTATTCACCTTTATTTTGACTCTGCCTCCGTACGTATCTTGAGCCTGTGGCCATCAGACTGTCACCCCTGTGGGTTTTGGGTTAGAAGCCGGGTTGGTTTTCCTTTTGGGAGCCTGACCAACAATTCTGGGAATAAGGGCAGGTGTTGTGCCTTGGTGGCATTTCACCACATCCCTTTTTGACACATCTGCCACTGCTGGACATTTCATAGGTGTATCTTGGCTTCTCCATTATTTCAGATTTACTTTTTCCATCAAACCAGCTCTGCCACCATGTGCTTCCTGCAGGGTTAAATTCGTCTCCTCCCCTCCACAGGGTTGTCCTCTCACAGGTGGCACCACGCTGGGGTGCTGACACCAGGGGCTCAGGTCTGTGGCTGCCTGGCAGGACAGTGTCACCTCCCAGTGTCCAAGTGGGTGACTCACATGGCAAAGCCCAGTGACTCTGCACTGCCCTCCTGACTTGGATACTCCAGGAGAGAAAATAGCCCATTCACTAAGGGTCTATATTTACCCAGCAGCTGCAGCTGAAGCTGCCAGAAGGAGCTAATCTTAGACACAAACCCAGTGAGTGATGTGTTAGAGACGGTGCATGGGAGAATTTGGGCTTTGCCCTCCTTTTCCAGGAGTTATCCCTTCAGATTTTGCTGCTCTGACAATCCCAGGAGGCCTGGTGGGCCATGGTGCTGTCTTAACCAGCTCAGCCTTGCACAGGACACCCTCAGCCTCACTGAATGCCTCTGTAGGATGAGATTTATCCACTGCTCATATCTTCGGAGAAGAGCATCTCATATGCTCTGGTTATTGCCTGCCTCTTCATAAAACTCTACCAAGAAGCCAAAAAAAGCAATTTTTATTGTAATTACAAATCCCAGTTAATAGCCCTACACTGGACATTTTCTTGTTCAGCCCGACATGGCTAGAATTCCTTCATCCATCCTTGTTCTAACATTTTTTATAAATGGGAGTAATCCTGCAACACTGCATCCCTTTAGGATGTAGCTGTGTATCCTCAGTGTTGTGGTTTAATCCCACACAGTTTTTCCCTCCCCCCACTCACCCCATAAGGAGGAGAATCAGAAAGAAAAGGTAAAAAGGTAACTGTTGAGATAAGAACAGTTTAACATTTGAAACAAAACATAATGATGATAAAAATAATGGCAAGGAGAGGAGAAACGACTGATGCACAACACAATTGCTCATCACCCACTGACTGATGCCCAGCCTGTCCTCAGGCAGTAAATTAGCTCCCTTCTGGGTAATTTCCACAGTTTATATCCTGGAAATTATGTTCTGTGGTATGGAATATCCCTCTGGCCAGTTTGGGTCAGCTCTCCTTGCCATGCTGCTTCCCAGATTTTGGTGCTGCTCCTCTCTGGCAGAGTGTGAGACATGAAAATCCTTCACTCAAGGTAAGAGCAACTCAGGAAGAGCCAAAACATTGGTGAGTTATCAACATTCTCCTAAATCAGGAGAAGCACAGCACCGTGGGAGGAAAATGAACTCTCAGAGATAAAACCAAAAACATTCAGCCACTCCCATGTCCTGGGGGACTATTCCCCCCTTGGGGACACACTAATGACTGTGGGAATCCAATGGTCATTGGAAATCCCTGGCTGTGGCCCTGTCAGATCTGGGGGACTGCACCGGGGCTCTTGGAAAACCAGAGCTGCTTCCCCAAGCCTTGGAGCTGCTCCAGCTGCTGGGCAAAGCCACTGGAGCCCATGGAGTCCCCAGGGCAGGTTTGGGACCGGCTCAGTGCCCTTTCCCTGAGTGAGCCACCAAGATGGGAGATGCCAGAGATCCACCAGGTGCCAGAGCTCCTCTCATGGATGGGCTGTAGCTGCATTTTGGCAGTGGCACCTCGTGGGCTGGGGGATAAGGGAGCAAAATTCAGACGGCAGCACAACGAAGATGAAAACAACACAGGGCTCAAGGGAGATTAAAGGCAGAGGGAGGGGGGGAAATCCCAGCTGGTGGCACCACAACAACACAGGATTAAATTTGGTGTGGCACAGAGCTAATGCAGAGGGAGCAGAGAGGGGAGGCTGGGGGTGTCCAGCCCCAGATGTCAGGGAGCAAAGATTCCTGAAGTTCGACCCAGTTCAAAGATCAGCACTCGGAGCCTGATCCCATCACGGATGAGCAGCACAGAAGAGCTTATGATGTGAGAGCTCTGAAAACAGCCTGTGATGATTTCCCTGCTATATTGGTACTTCCCAGATGCTGCTGGAACCACACCAGTACAGAAGGGCTTCGTACTGGTATGGCTCCCTCCCTCTCCCCACTTCCAGAGATAACCATAATGGCAATCTTTATAAATACATCCCTGCCAGGGTAAGGGGTTATGTGGCTTTAAATACACCAAGAATAATGGCTAATATTTTTTCATGGACTTAATTAAATCGTTAATTAAATCTCTGCCATCACTGAGTGTCAGACAGCCCAGAGGGTCCACAGTAAGAGATAAAACAGATTCATGCACAAGTTTTACTATGGGTATAAATAATTATAGTTACTCTGCTCGCCCATGTCTGTCAAAACTAATTTGCTTCTTTGTGAGCTCTGTGGGAATAGCTGGACCTGGTCTGGCCATTTGAGGGCCCAGGGGATTTCCTAATCATCCATGGGTAGGCAAGCAGGACACAAGACCTGCTGGAGAGCTCATCCACTCTGGAGCATCAGCTCCAGGCCAGGCAGGTTGTCCTGCTGTGGCTCCAGACTTTGTCATGGGGGTGATGAACCAGAAGGACTGAGCAGGAGACCCTCAATTTACTAGAAGGTATTTGTGTTTAGATGTCTTAATCTGTGAGTTGAAGCCCAGCGTTGCATTTCCTTTACTTCTATTTTGCCTCAGATGCTCTTTCTGTCACTAGGAACTGGAAAGGATGGATTTATTGGTGCCAAGGTGCCCAGAGACTGTGCCACTGGGGCCCATTTTCATGTATGGCAGAGTCACAGAATCAGAGAGGCTGGAAATGGGCTCTGGGATTGATCCAATCTATGGCTGAACCAGACCATGGCCCTGAGTGCCATGTCCAGTCTTTCCTTAACACCTCCAGGGGTGGTGATTCCACCACCTCCTGCAGGGAAAAAGAGCCACCCCTCTCCCACAGTCCTCAAATCTCCTGCTTTACTGAGAATTTTATAGGAACTTCCAGCACAGATCTGTATCCCATGCAGGGATACAGGGTAAATAAACAGCTCTATCTCCATTTCCCACCCACTTCCAGACCCCTGAAAAGTGACTCTAGAGGAGAATAGAGGACAAACCTATGCAGCAAAGGGAGCTGGCTGGAGCTGGGGATGCTACAAAGCCCACACAAGACCCTCCCTTAGTGCATCTTTCCAGCTTTGACTTCACGGTCTATTTTTAACACAGCTAAAGGTCCAGCACTTTCAGAGCAGCCCATTTAGCATCACCAGGAAGAAACCCCAGCCTTGCCACCCGTGACCCAAGAGGCAGATTGGGCTGTTAGATTCACCCAAGCCCACGGGTGGCACGTGTCCCCTGTGGTGTCACAGCAGAGAAACCTCCTGCTCCCTCTGCGGTGACTCATGAGCTGACAGACCCTTCCTGAATTACTGAGGCTGGAATTACAGCTGTTCCCCCGGCCCCCTCCCTTCCTCCTTGTCCAATGTGTCATATTAAAGGGTGATCGGCTTACACATGCTGCACTATGGATTCCTTAAGCTCTGCAGTGCTGTGTCTATATATAAAGCCCTGAGCTGGAAGCTGAAGTGCACAGACAGCTGGGAGCGTTTCACATTCCCGCTGTGCTGGAGGTCTGGAAGCCTGTGAACTCTGCTTTCAGCAAGTTTCTTTATTCAGGTGTAGGTACAGCCACCAATATTTATCCATAAGGGAAGGATTGGGGCAAAGAACGAGCAGTTACTCCTCACCATGGGTTTGCCTCTTGATCAAGTGGAAGAATTGCGTCTCTACCAGCAAACTCTTCTCCAGGACGGACTCAAAGACATGTTGGACCACAATAAGTTCCTGGACTGTGTCTTAAAAGTGAAAGGGAAGGAGTTTCCCTGCCATCGGCTGGTGCTGGCAGCCTGCAGCCCCTATTTCCGGGCCATGTTCCTGTCAGACATGGAGGAGAGCAAGAAGAGGGAGATCAGCTTGGAAGACGTCGATCCAGATGTCATGGGCAAGATCCTCCACTACATCTACACCTCTGAGCTGGAGATCACGGAGCAGAACGTGCAGGACATCTTCTCCGTGGCCAACATGTTCCAGATCCCCTCCATCTTCACCGTGTGCGTGTCCTTCCTGCAGAAGAGGCTCTGCCTCAGCAACTGCCTGGCCATCTTCCGCCTGGGATTGATGCTGGATTGCGCCCGGCTGGCCGTGGCTGCCCGGGATTTCATCTGTGACCGCTTCTCCCTGGTCTCCAGGGACGAGGAGTTCTACCAGCTCTCCCCCGACGAGCTGATTGCCATCATCTCCAGCGACTCCCTCAACGTGGAGAAGGAGGAGAACGTCTTCGAGGTGGTGATGAAGTGGGTGGGCACCAAGGACCGCGAGAGCCGGCAGAAAGCCTTGCCTGTCGTCTTCGAGAGCGTCCGCTTCCGCCTCATGCCCAACGACTACATCAAGGACCACGTGGAGAAGCACGCCATGGTCAAGTCCAGCCCCGAGCTGCTCAAGAAGCTGCAGATGGTGAAGGATGCCCAGAAAGGCAAATTCACTGTGGTGAAGAAGAAGAAAGTGAAGAAGAACAGCGAGAATCAAGAAAAGGAGAATGTTGTCAATGGAGCAGTAGATGAAGGGGAAGACACAGAGGAGGACGCTCTCCCTGGGATCCTGAACGACACGATGCGCTTTGGGATGTTCCTCCAGGACCTTATTTTCATGGTGAGTGACAGTGGAGCGGTGGCCTACGACCCCAATGCCAACGAGTGCTATTTTGCCTCCCTGTCTACTCAAATCCCAAAGAACCACGTCAGTCTGGTGACCAAAGAGAATCAGATCTTCATTGTTGGAGGACTGTACTACAACGAGGACAGCAAAGAGGATCCCATGAGCTCCTACTTCCTACAGGTACTACCTCTTTCTTTTGTTTCTTTGACCACTTGAGAGCATCACCAAGCTTTAGCTTTCCTTCTTGTTGTCATGTGATGTTAAAGTGAAAGATGTAAAGGAAGGAAAATAATTTGGGTTGCTTTACTGGAGATTCTTCTCCCTTTATTTTTAAGGTAGATGCCACTGAGGGATGGTTGTGGTAGTTGAGGAAGAAGGTTTGAAGGAGTAGGAAATAGGAATGAGCTTTCCTGATGCAAATCCTGAGGAGAGGATTGTTTAGAACAGTGAATTTGGCCCAGCCCTGGCTGCCATAGGGTTCACAGACTGGGAGGTTCGTGGCATCAGACCCAGGTTCTGCTTTGCTTCCCCTGTCTTCCCTTGTTATGAACCCCAGGAAAACCCAAGGGTGACACTGCCAGGACTGAAAAAGGAGCAGCAGCAGCTGCAGCCACAGAGCAAACACCCCAAGGACACAGGACATGTCCCTGCTCCCAGCACGTGCCCCATTCCTAGTGCTGTTCCTGCCCCTGGAGACGGGTTTGGTCCAGCTCAGAGTCTCTGTCTCAGCCTTTGAGGGGAAAACCGTCATGAGGTGTCTTTGGGGATAGTCCTCAGGGAAAGTGGCTGTTGTAACTCAGCAGTGCCCAAACTGTGACTGGATTGAGCTGTGCAGGCAATCTGAGCCCCAGCCTGGGCTGCAGCCCAGATTTCTTTCCCTGTAGACAGCTAACACAAGGCGCCTACCCTTCCTGCTGACCCTGAGGAATCCAGTAAATCCTCTGTTCTTCCTCCCATACCCAAAAATCCTTTTTTTGGTTCCTCTCCATGGCTCAAATCTTCTGGGAAGAAACAATAACGTGTCCCAGGCACACATCTTCTGGGGAAAACAATAACATCTCCAGGCAAAAAGGATAAAATGAGGGTGGCTGCCAAGCTGAGACACAGAGCCCTGATCCCTCCCTTGACTCATTGCCCTCATCAGTAGGGCTGCACATCATGCAGGGATCATGCTTGTCCTCACCTGGAAAGGGGCAGGGGGTTGTGCAGGCCAGGTGAAGTCCAGGGAATGAGAAGTGAGGAGGAAGAAACCCCAGCCCTATAAAGCAAGAGGGAGTGGGAAAGCTGAGGAAGTGCTGGGGGTGTCCTGTTTGGGATACAGCCTTTCACACTGGACAATCCATGATGACTGAGGTGTGGCCAGCCCCATCAGTTACCTGTGAGGAGGAGGATGATGCATTCAGCCCAAACCTGTGCCTGAAGATCAATCTTCCTAGAAGAGATGGAGCAGGGCCCAGAGAGGTCACAGAACCTTCACAGAATCATAGAATGACCTGAATTGAGAGCGACCTTGAAGATCACCTAGTTCCAAGCCCCTGCCCCTTCCACTTAGACCAGATGGCTCAGAGCTCCATCCAACTTGGCCTTGAACACTTCCAGGAGGGGGAAACATTTAATATTTGACTGCACAAAGCCTTGGGAAATTGCTCTAACCCCAAATCTGTGCCCCTTTGAACATGTGGGTTGGATGAACAGCCTTTGGTGGTCCTTGTCCCCAGAGTACTCTGTGGTTCTCAGCTGCAAACAGCAAGATTTCTCTATTCCTCCCAGCTTGCCATTGACTCAGTGGCAAATGCCTTGAGCATCCTGGGGCCAGTTTTTGCTCTTCCCCTCAAGAAGGGTCTCTTCACACTCCACCATGTCTCTTATACTTGGGAGAATCAGACAAATCCTGGGATTGGAGAGTACCATCAGTTTGCAAGGGTTTAATTTATTACATCAGTGTCGTTATGTAGCTCACCGTTGCTGTATGAGCAAGAGAGATTTGGAGCCCTTTTTTTCAGCTCAAACAATATATTTGGACATGCAGCTCTGTGATAAGTCACTGTGCCACAGCTCCCTACACCTTCTGACTCTTTATACCCTCCCAAATTTTACATTCCCCTTGCTGAAGCCAGGGGCATTAGGTCAGGGATAATTTAGATTGAAGGACAGGCACCAAAATATAAAAATGCTGATAAATCCCAGGGGCCTTGCAGATTTTGGCAGGAGCAAAATGATTCCATTGACATTTCGGGTGGAAAAGGGTATCCTTTCTTTGTCACTTGCAAGATTTATGACTCGAAAACAATGCCGAATCCATCAAGAAGCAGGAACTATCCTGATGACTGAACTGCTCAGGGTTGCACTATAAATAACACATGTGTGGACCACAGCTTACAAAGAGACCAAAACCACAGGCACCCAGCTGAGGCTGAGTCTTTGGAGCCAGCCCATCAGGCTGAAGCTCCTTGGCCTGAGCCCATGGCAAACAATGCTCCAGGCAGTGCTGCGTCACAGCTTCATCCTGCAGTCCCACTAAATTGGCTGCAAGACACCCCTCCCTCCTCTGTCAAGCTGCATTAAATTTTTTCCCCAGTTCCCAGTGCTCAGAGTCCCCAGTCTAAGAATTTTTTTTTATTATTATTATTTTTTTTTTGTCTGGTGGGAGATGAGACAGTGCCTTGATCTACAGATGTCCAAGGATTTGGTGATCTGATGCAGCAGCTTGCTCATCTGTCAAATGGGTCTGGCACCCCTTATCTGTGTAAATTATTATTATTTATCTGTGTAACGTTGTTGGCAGCACCCTGTGTTACCTGGCAGTGATGGAAAATACTAGGATGAAATACTGTGAGATGTTCTATGCATGAAAAGATGCAGGAAAATTTCTAGGATTGAAATGCTTCCATTCCAAGTCCAGCAAGGGAGTCTTTCACCCAAAGATGACCAAGCTTGTTCCAAGTTGGAAGAGGAGACTCAGGAGAGAGTTTATCACTCTACAACTCCCTAAAAGGAGGATGTAGTCAGGTGGGGGTTGGCCTCCTCTCCCAGGCAACCAGTGACAGGATGAGAGGACAAGGGAGGTTCAGGTTGGACATAGTGGAGAATTTTTTTTACTGAAAAGGTGGTCAGGCATTGAGATGGGCTGCCCAGGAAAGTGGTGGAGTCACCATCCCTGGAGGTGTTCAAGAAATGATGTGACACTAAGTGCCATGGAATTGACAAGGAGGTGACTGGTTGGACCCAATGATCTCAGAGGTATTTTCCAGCTTTGATGTGATTCTGTAAAGCCCAGGCTTTGATGAACAGAACATGTTGCTGCAGGCCCCTCTCTGCTTTTATGCCTTGTCACAAAAGGTTTATCATACAATTTGTGACTTGGGTTTGCTCTCAGATCTCTCAGGTGACAGAGGCACAGCCACAGGGACATTGCAGAGAGTGCTGCTGGGGTGACCAGGTTGCACATGGGAACAGACTTTGTCCTCCACCTCTGGACCCTGACTAAACAAATGGGCCCACACTAATGACCATATGTTCCCTTCCAGTACGACCATCTGGATGCAGACTGGCTGGGGATGCCCCCCCTGCCCTCCCCTCGCTGCCTCTTCGGCCTGGGGGAGGCAGAAAACTCAATTTTTGTGGTTGGAGGCAAGGAACTGAAGGAGGGAGAGAAGACCTTGGATTCAGTGCTGTGCTACGACCGGCTGTGAGTGCTCAGTGGGGTGGGAGGGGGCTCAGAGGAGAAGGCAGAGCAGCTGCCACGCAGTGACTCCAGCTCTCCAGGGGTCAAAAGCTTTGGGAGAAGAGCTTGAACTCTGTCTGTGGATGCTGGGACTGTCTGAGCTGTGCCCTGGGGCTCTGAGCTGTCTCGCTCCAGCTGCTCCTTTTATTGAGCCTCCTGGAGAGGGAAGCCTTTATGGGGATATTTTGTTATCTGGGACTGATATTAGTAGATGTGAGACATGTACAGAGGAGTTTTTTCTTCTGTTAAACCTTCTGCTCTTGCTCATTGATTAAAGGTTCAGTGACATTCACTGTGGTCTCACCAAAGGAGGTTGGAACAGAAAAGCTTGTTTTTAAAATTTTCAGATGTGTCACAGAACGGCTCATGCTGATTGATATCAGGCTTAATATCTGATTATTTTTGGACAATGGGCTCTGACCCATGCTAGCTCATGAGCTTTATTAAAAGACATCATCCTGTTCTTCTCTCAGGAGACAGAAACTTCCAAAGCCTGCTGCTCTCTGCCCCAAAGAGACAGAGCAGCAGGCATCAACAAGCCTTTGCTTGGTCTATATTTAGATGTGTGTGCTTCCAAATCTGGTTTATAGGCAGAGATTTGAAACCAGTTCCATTCCCACAGAGCAGGGCATTTATCTGCCCCTGCAGACTCTGGGAAAGAATTTGTCTGCCCCCACTAAGAGTTCAGGGGATGGTTTGAGTATCAGTTTGAAGCTGGTAGAGATGTGACTAGCACCACTTTAGCTTTATTTGGTTGATATTATTCTGATTGAAAGTGGCTGAACGTGAGCCAGGTATGTGCCCAGGTGGCCAAGAGAACCAGTGGCATCCTGGATCAGGATCAGCAGGACCAGGGAAATGTTTTCTCCTTTGTGCTGGGCACGGTGAGGCTGCACCTCAAATCCTGTGTCCAGTTTTGGGCCCCTCATGACAAGAAGGACATTGAGGGGCTGGAGTGAGCCCAAAGAAGGGAACAGAGGTGGGGAAGGGTCTGGAGCACCAGGAGCAGCTGAAAGAACTGGGGGGGCTCACCTTGGAGAAAAGGAGGTTCAAGGGGTAATTATTGCTCCCCATACCTACCTGAAGACCTAAAGAAAATAATGGATATTAGAATAAATATTCTGCTTATTTTACTGTCACCCTCTTTTAGGATCACAACATTTACAGTCTGAGCCTGTCTCATTGCAGACCTTGTGTTTCTGAGATTGAGTCCAACCCCGTGCTCACCTCTAGGACTGGGAAATGCCATGTCCTCTAGGTGTCACCCAGAAAGCTACAAATCCTTTTGCTTCCCATTTTTTCTGACTCAGGTCCTTCAAGTGGGGTGAGGCTGATCCCCTTCCCTATGCAGTCTATGGCCATGCAGTGGTGTCACACAAGGACCTTGTCTACGTCATCGGGGGCAAAGGAGGTGACAAGTAAGTCAAAAAGCAAGAGAAAAACAAGGAGGCAATCCCCCAAACCAGTGGGAGTGTAGAGCTGGTACCTCCTCAGCCTGGTTTAAAGGGGGCTGGATGGGATGGGAGATGTGGATCCTTCCCTCTCCACTCATCTTTGTGCCTGCAGCCCTTTCCAAAACCTCAGGAGGGCAACGGGGACATCAGGAAAGTGGCAGTGTCCTTACAGAAGAGAGAATGTATTGCCCCATCCCTGGAGGCAGGCTGGAAGGGGCTTTAAGGGAAATTGGTCTAGTGGAAGGTGGAGTTGGAATGAGATGATCTTTAATGATCCTTCCAAATCAAACCATTCTGTGATGCCCTTTGCTCACAAAAAAATAAATGTCACACATACTGGGAGAGGCATTGAAGAGCAAGAAGCCCCTTTACTTTTAGGGCCTCCTGTCTTGGACTTGTGGAACAGAGTGGTCACCATAGTCAAATCCAGATGTGCGTTTGCAACAGGAAGGAAAAGCCTCATCATCCTGCCCTCTTGTAGGAGACAGGCTCAGCAGGAAAAGCCTCTCTCAGGAGCATCACAGTGGCCGCCTTGCAGGGCACAAATGGGAGTGTTTGCAGAGCAAACATTCCACAATGCAGGAAGGATTGGTCCTGCTCAGGAAGGCTTTTGGTCTGAAAGGTGTGACCGTGCACACATTCACACCTCACACTGCCCACCTGGCTACAGGAACATCGCTGAGGGGCTGAGGGCGTTTTGGAACATCACGGTGGATCAGGAGCACTGAAGCAATGCCTTGATGGCTGTGAGATCCTAAGAGGCTCTTGGCTGCCTGGACCTGTATCCAGGTGTGTGAGCACCCAGCTGAGCTCTCAGGACTCCTATCCAAAGTGGGCACAGCAGGAGGGGATGTGTTAAACACACAAATGGTGACTCCAGGAATGGGCATCCTTGAGTGCACACCTGTAGCCATGGAAAGGGGTTTTAACCCTTTAAGTGCAGCAGAAATAAGATGCACAGCTACATGGGAGTCTGTCATGACAGGAAGAAAGAGACAAGTTTATTCAGAAACACACTTGGTTTTATAGCATGACTGCAACTCCCAGAGTAGAGAAAAGGAGATTGGTTCAGAGAGAAGACACCCCATGGCCAGGGCCTGGGCACACACCACAACAGGGCTTCTATCTTGGTATTAATTCCTTTTTATTTTGAACAAATTATCACCCTGGGAGAAATTCTCCCTGGCCTTGAGCTGGACCAGCTCATGGGCTGGGAACAGAGCTGAGAAGATCCAGCCTGGAATATTTTTCAGGCTGTAATTTTCTTACTTTCTCAATATGTGTCCCACAGACACCCAACAAAGGGGTGTGTCCCTCCACTCAAAATCCTCCCTATGCACCCCACCTTCTCCCCAGCAGACACCCCCAAACCTCTGCAGTGCAAAACCACCCCTGGGCAGGCCACTGAGGCTCTTTTTCCTTCTCATTTTTCTCCAGGAAGTGCCTGAAGAAGATGTGTGTCTACAACCCAGCCAAGTTTGAGTGGAAGGAGATGGCTCCCATGAAAACTGCCCGCTCCTTGTTCGGAGCCACCGTGCACAAGGACAAAATCTACGTGGCAGCTGGTGTGACAGACTCTGGTCTGACCAACTCGGTGGAGGTCTATGACATTGCCACCAACAAGTATGTCCTGAGCTGTGGTTAAGGGAAAATTAGGTTGGATATTAGGAAAAAGTTTTTCACAGAAAGAGTGATAAAGTCCTGGAATGGTCTGCCCGGGGAGGTGGTGGAGTCACCATCCCTGGATGTGTTTAATAAAAGCCTGGATGTGGCACTGGGTGCCATGGGTTAGTTGAGGTGTCAGGGCTGGGATGGACTCGATGATCTTGGAGGTCTCTTCCAACCCTGTGATTCTGTGAATTCTGTGAATACACAAGGAGCAGGTGCAGGTATAAGTTCAGCAACTTCCAACCATTCTAGAGTTTGTTTGTGACTCCAGATGTCAGTTCCTCCAGTTTATATGTCCATGGCAGGGGAGTTGGAAATGGATCATCTTTAAGGTCACTTCCAACCCTAGCCATTCTAGTGTTTTATGGTTCCTCAAAGAACTGGGCATCACCAAAGTCACTGTGGTTGGGCTGTGGATCATCTCAGGCTCATCCTCAAAGTGTTTTCACCCACTATGCTGTCCTTGGGTTCCCTGGCAGCTTCACCCATCACAATAAACCCACTGAGCTTGGGTGGCTCTTGCAGCTGCAGTCCCAGCACTGGGACATACTTGTCCCTGTGCCCAAAGCAAATCAAAGCTGAACAACGATGATGGGAACAGTTTCCCTAAAAACAGCCAGGGTATGGTCCCATCCCACCTAGCCCTGCACATTTGGATCTGTCCCTAGTGAGCTCAGCTGTTGAATCCTGAGGTGAGGCCATCCTCAGTGTGTGTGGGGGTGGCCAGGATGCTCTAACCTGTCCCCTCTCTGGATGTGGCAGGTGGGACACCTTCACTGAGTTCCCTCAGGAGCGCAGCTCTGTCAGCCTGGTCAGCCTGTCTGGGGTGCTCTACCTGCTCGGGGGGTTCGCCACCGTGGAGACAGAGTCAGGAGAGCTGGTGCCAACGGAGCTGAACGACGTTTGGAGGTGACAACATTCCCCAGGGCTGTCCGGGGGCCATGGGAGGGATGTTAGTCATGAAATGGATCATTTCTGTCTTTTTTTATGCTGTCAGTGTGAGATGGAGGTTGTCACCCCAGCACAGGGGGGCTGCAGGCTCAGCACAGGGTGTCTGGAAAGTTTGCCCTGTGCTGTGCTAGAGGGCACATTGGTGCTTCAGTGATCTCTCCCAGCCTCACACAGCACCAGACCAGGGAAAACCTGCTCCTTTGGCTTTGTTGTGCATTGACATTTTGCCTGGAGCTGGTACCAGCCTCCCCTTTGGTGTGGAGCAGCATCTGTGCAATGCTTCCTCTCTCTGGGAACAGCCAGTGCTTGGGCTGGGAAGCAGAAAGTCTGGGCTGAGAAGCAGAAAGTCTGGACTGGGAAGCAGATAGGCTAGGCTTAGAAGCAGATAGGCTGGGCTGAGAAGCAGATAGGCTGGGCTGGGAAGCAAATAGGCTGGGATGGGAAGCAGAGAGTCTGGGCTGAGAAGCAGATAGTAGAACATGCAAGAGGAGTGGGCAGAAAGCTTTTAGTGACAGCTGGTAATGCAGTGCTGGCTGCTCCTGTCCCTCACGTCGGTGCTCTGGCACCCTCAGCAGGATCCTGCTGTCCTTCACCATGGATGTTCCACCTTGGTGCCATCAGCCCAATTCCCTGATGAAAAACATCCCCTCCCCTGCAAGACCACGTGCCGATATCCACATTCCCCAAATCAGAGCATGCCAGGGCTGAAAGTCCCCGTGGGGATTCTTGTGGCCAAATAACTCCTGTGGGATGTCACACCACACACCAGGGCTCCCACCACCATGGAGAGCAGCTGGAGGGAGGGAGAGGAGACCTTTCCTCAGCACTAAGTGCCTGTCTGCCTCTCCCCAGGTGTCACTGGTAGGGTTTTGGGGTCTGCCTCTCCCCAGGTGTCACTGGTGGGGTTTCGGGGTCCCTTTGGGATCCCTGAGCCCTCAGCGACAGAGCAAATTCCCGAGCCTTGCCCAGATGGAATTTTGGCTTGCAGTGAGCTCTCAGACCAGCGGGGAAGAGAGACCAGCATATGCAGAAAGGCACAAATCCATGGTTTATTCTGTGAAGGCATCCTGTCTACATATACCCACGGCTATTGTTTTATAGGGGTTTTTATATCTTTTGAGGGTTTTACAGTTTGCACCAATTACCAAGGGAATTCTACTTTCTGACCAATCCCTGAGGGATTTTACATTCAAAGCTGGCCTATGGATACTAAAAGAGAATGAACCACTAATATTGAAGATAGATAAGAGGGTATACCAAAGGGGGGGAAGCTAAATTCCTTTTGTATTCGTCATTTCACAAGCCATTTCTTATCTCTAAGCTATGATTTTCCAAGGAGCTTGTTCTGAGCATGCAGGGAAACTTTCTTCTGTGTTTTCTGCTCCCTCCACACGCAGGTATGATGAGGAGCAGAAGAAGTGGGAAGGGGTCCTGCGGGAGATCCAGTACGCCTCCGGTGCCACCTTCCTCCCCGTGCGCCTCAACGTTCTGCGCCTGACAAAGATGTAGTCGGGAGAGATTGGGCTTCTTTCCATGGGCTGCTGGGGCAAGGAGGGATGGGGAGATGCTTATCAGAGATGTGGCATCTGGACACCGCCCAGGACATTGCATCTGTGATTGGTGCTTTTTTGGATAAGTGGGAAAGAGGGGAGAGTATCTGGAAAACCTCAGGGAACTTGAAGGTGCTCACAAGGTAATTAGAGAGGAGGTCTGGATCCTGCAAGGAGCTGGGAAAGACTGAGAAGCACAGAAAAATTAGTTATTCCAGTCTCAGGAGACAGGAAAAATAGATCATACATTTTTTAACTTCTTTCTCAATTTTTTTCCCTATCTTTTCAACTGCTGTTGGACCTCTCCAACAAACAGAGGGTGCAGAAAGTGGGGACTAAGGTGACATTCCCCAGGGAAAGGCACCTACAAAGTATTCCCCAGCCTAAGGTGTCTGTGAGCACAGTGTTCCTTGGAGAGGAGAAGGAAGGGTTAAAGTCAAGTGGTACAGGAGAGACCTGATAGGATTTGATGAATTCCTGAGTGAAGAGGGTTGTTGGGATGAGACAGCTAAAAGAAAAGATGATGTGAGCGGCAGAAGCACTTTGGAAGTTGTAATGAAAAGCAAATGATCTTAGTTCTTTGCCTCCACCCTGACTTTAGGGTGATGAGAAGACAGGAGCTGAGTCTCAGGAAGGGAGGAGTCGTGGAAGTCGTAGGGTGGGAAAGGGGGAGAGGTGGACAGGGGATGTCACGTGTGGTCATCTTCAGCCTTTTGGGCTCCTCATCCTCAATCACAGATCACAATGTCCTCACCTATGGGTGGACAAATGCTGGTTTTTTTAGGGAAAGGTTTTATATTTTTGCTGTTTCTCTTATTTTTAATGTTCAGACTTTTTTTTTTAAGATTATTTTACTTTGCTAAGGGGATCTCAGATGTGTTTGGCTCAAAGCGAGCTGCTGGTTGAGGAAAAATGTGTATTTATTTTAAAGTTGTTAATATGAAGTTTTGATAGAGACATGACTGTACTGGCAGCAGGAAAAAAGATCTGTTAGAGCAAAAATCTCCTGATGCCCACACCATCTGACCAGTGGTTTATTTAAAAATAAATGTGACTATTCCAAAAGAAATCCCCCGTGTTTGCACATTGATAGAGCTGAAACTGATCCTTCACAGCAACCAAAGACAAGGACTGAGCACAAGTTTGATGGAGCAAAACAGCCCCATGGAGAGGCCCATCTTTTCTTGTTATTTTCCCCCATCTGAGAGCTGAAATTTTAGGATCTGTGTCCTTACAGCTCTTCCCCATGGAGACCACAGCTAGGAGTGTACTCAGGTCTCAAAGGAAGCTGGATGCCTACACTGACAAGGTGAGAAGAAACAGCCTCAAGTTGTGGCAGGGGAGGTTTAGATTGGATATTAGGAAGAGGTTTTTTTTTACAGAAAGGATTGTAAAGCACTGGAAGAGGCAGTGGAGCTCCAGTGATGGAGTCACCATCCCTGGAAGTGTTAAAAAAACACATGGATGTGGGACTTAGGGACATGGTTTATTGGTGAACATGGTGGTGGTGCTGGGTTGGTGGCTGGACTCAATGACACTAAAGGTCTTTTCCAACCTTAACAATTCTATGATTCTGTGATGTCATAATACCATTAACAGGGGTGATAATCAATAATAATTTAAAAGAAGAACAAATACAAACCTTGCAAAATAATTGCCTCGAAGTGGTATGAAAATTCTGCTCTCACAAATCATAATTGGCTGATTCATCTAGACCAAAATGCAGTTGTGGAGAAACTAAAATATGTTTGGAAGGAAAAAGAATTCAAGGGAAGTAAAGGAACCAGAGCCTTGTCCTGGTTTCATTTGAAGGATTTAGGAAGCTACAGGAGAAGCTCCTTAGAGGACAACCACATCAGAACAATAATGAAATATTTCAGAAGAAAAACAAATGCAAGGTGACTGGCTGTCACAAAGTAGCTTAAAATAAATAAAAAGGAACAAAAATCAAATCAACAACAATCAAATGTGTGAAAAATGCATGGAAAAGGAATAAACACCTTCTGCCTAGTTCTGCAGAGATTCATGTAGACAATTCCCAAGCCAATTAAAGGTGAATCTTCCAAATAGCTGCTGGCAGAGAAAAAAAAATTAAAAAAAAAATCCCTGTATAGAATAATAATTTTTAAAAGTAATTTATTCCAGTGCCAAGATACCATGTCCTGCCTCCAGCAGCACCATCCCTGGGAGTGTTTAAGGAAGGAGTGGAAGCTGTACTCAGTGCTCTGGTCTGGTTGACAAGGTGGTGATTGGACAAAGGTTGTCTCAATGATCTTGAAGGTATTTTCCAGCCCTAATGATTCTATGATTCCATGATCTTTGCTTCAGCTCTTCTTGCTGAATGCAGGCTGGAAAGTTGTTGATGATCCTAATAGAGGTTTAATCCCCACCCATCTCCTGCCACATTTCTTGGCTCTTCTAGAGGAATTCTGGGGTTTTTGAAGCCAGCAGGAGAATGTTGCTGACCTTCCATGAGTTGTTGTGATGTGGTCCATGATAAAGGCTCAAAATATTTCAAATAAACTGGAACTTGGTGCTTATGTGTGGCTCACACCATTATAAAGCTGTGGAGAAGCCACCACTGGCACAGGGCAGGAAACTATAAAAGGAAAAATAGCTGTTGTATGAAAAGACCCAGAAGAATTTGAAATATCCCATTGCTTGAGCAACAAGAGGCAAATCTCAGCACGTTGGTCTGAGGAAAGAGGCAGAGTTGGACATTACCATGTGAAAGTGTGCCCTGGGGATGTTCCTCCACATCTCCAAGAGGCTGTGTCAATTTAAAGGCCATCACAGATAAGAAATGCCACCAGGAATGCTCAGAGACATCACTTCTCCCTGCTGCCTGGTGTTTTCCTGGCTTGGATGCAACAGTGGCAAAGACTACATCCAAAGGCTGAGGGAAAACCATCTCTTCTTCCATCATCTTCCCAATACCCATGCTGATATTGTTGGTGAGGTTCCCCCTGCTCCATTTTAAATTAATAAAGGCACTGGGTGCTTTTGGATGTGCTCCTTGGTTTCTCCACTGCCAATAGAGGAGATCAGAGAGCCCCTACTCAGAGTTCACACTGACCTGATAGAGTCAGTAGGACCAAGTGCTCAGTGTTTACCCCAGGGCTGTAAGCACCAAATTCCTTCTTCTATCCACTCATCACCCTTCCCTGAAAAGCTCTTTTTTTGTTGGCCCCACAACAGGCAAGTTGTCTCACACACACACACACACGCACACACCTCCCACCAAACCCAACACGGAGCCAACACATGTGGAGCAGTCAACATTCCATAGGAATCTCATCCTCCCTGTCTCTGACTGCTCACACAGTTGCCTGAAAAAAACCCTTTTAAAAGAAAAGAAAAAAATAAATAAAGGGAGAAGAAAAAGATAAAGCAAAATTAAGCTAACAAAGAAAGTAGTGGAGCTTTTGGTTTTCTTTTATAAAAGACAAATCGTTTATTGATTCCGTCCTTCCACTTGCAACCTCTTTGGTAACAGTCATAACGCTTCCAGACTGGGAGAACGCAGTGGAAAGGCCCAGTTCTGACCTCTCACCAATTTCAGAGCTCAGCGAGCCCCAACGTGCCTTGGTGAGAGGCCAAAAGCAGATTTCAAAGCATGGCCAAGGACCTGGCCTCGAGGGACAACCCAAACCAGCCTCCCTGCCGTGGCTCGTCACGCTCGTGGGCAGCACAGAGAGCAGCCCTGGCACCCCCAGGCAGGAGATGGCTCGGGATGGGGATGTCTGACTGGGAGTTGTGCCCTGGGAGGTGGCTTTGATGAACCTCTTGGGACCTCCTGGACATTGGCCAACGGGACCATCGAAGAAGCAAGACTCACCCGTTCCTGCGGTAGACAATGACTTGCCTCAGCTGGCCCCAGGGGATGGACTAATCCAACCATCTCAGCCTCCCCCTCCTCACACCATCCCAAAGAGAGTAACTGCTGTACTTGGAGTTAAAGATAAACATATATTGATTACACATGGTCATAAAAAAAAAGTAATAATAATAATAATAATAATACATTTCCTAGAACATTACTTAAGATGCTTCTGAAAAGCATCCAAGCTTCCCCTCCCCTCCCCGCCTTCCCTTAATCTATACAGAATAAAGTGCTTCGTTTAGTTTGTTCACACTTGTAGAGCCACCAATACACTCTTAACTTGGCATGTTTGGGCAAACTGATACTGAATGCCATAAAATAATACAGAGCCAAACACCAGGCATGAGAAACTAGTTTTGAGGCAAGTGCTTGGGGTTTCATTCATTTCCTTCAAGTTCCATGCTACAGAGGTTGTTCTTATTCCTATTTGTTTTTCTCCTTTTTTTAAAAAAAAAAAAAATTATTATTTTCTTCCTTTGTAAGTCCAACCCAACTCCAGTCGTGGTTCCGTGTCTCTAGGCAGGGCTGCGCGTGGGGAAGCTCTCGCCGTCCGTGTGAACAAAGGGCGTCTGTCCGTCTGTCCTTCCCTCCTGACTTCGGGCAAACCAAGAGTCACCTCAGAGGAGTTGTCTAGCAGCGGATGCTCATCTCTATTGCACTGTCACAGCCATTCCCACCCGTCCACCCATCCATCCATTCATCCATCCGTCACCTTCCCACCGCGCCAGGGCTATGGCTGTGGTCCGAAGGGCCAGCTGTGCCTCATGGATACGTGAGGCGAGCTGGTCTGTGCTACCAGGCTCCTGGGATATAGAAACCAAAAATTACCCTCCCCCACAGGATTCCCTCCCTCCCCAAGTTTTGAATGAAGGGTGGAGTGGGGGGAGGAAAAAAAAAAAAAATCCCAGAGAGGTCTGGGGTTTAGGTGCGTGGGGAGAGCTGTCAGCTGAACGTTGCGCTACAGCGGATTCAGGAACTGCGTAATGGACATCAAGCCCCTCTCCACCCTCGCAGTCTGTCAAAGAAGGGATGTGAGAGATTAAGGTGCAAGAGTTTAAAGAAAAAAAAAAAAAAGAATTTAAAAAAAAATTAAAATAAAACATAAAAAGCTTGAAAACAACGGACCCTACTCTCCTGCCCTGCCTAACCCCAAGGGGTGCAACAGCGCCGGCCGGGATGGATCCGGGATGGACGAGGCACCGCGGGAGCGACTCGGCTGAGCTCTTAGTATGCCAACGAAAACCAGACATGAAGACACACTGGGGCTGAGTCAGGGTGCAGACAAAAGGGCTCAGAGGCCTTGTAGGACTCCTGGGAGCTACCCAGGCCTTGGAGAGGGGAGGGAGCAGCAGGGATCTGGTTCTCCAAAGTGCTGTGTGCATGGTCACATCTCGACGTCTCCAAGTGGCTCCACAAGCAGGCTCTCAAAGGGGATCACACGGCTGGGATCAGTCACTGGGCTTTCCACTGGGCTTCCAGCCTCAAGGAAGTGCTCTCATCTCACAGAGATGTCCAAGGGGGGCAGGTCCTCACTGGGAGAGGATGAACCAGGACAGGAACAGGGAAAGCCACCTCCAGGTGAATGGAATAAGGGAGCACAATGTTGGCGTGGGTGTTTATGTGGGGGGAAGTCTATCAGCTGATGGGGTCCATCACAGAAGACCATCAAAGCAAGGTGAGCCCTCCTCAGGGCACAGCGCTCTCATCCTGTCTCAAGGCTGAGCAAGAAGAGAAAGAAGCACAAGGAAGCCCAAGGGGATGGGATCTGGGAGGCAGCAGAGGAGGAGACGGCATGGACCACTCCAACACCTCCACGGGTTTCACTGAATGCTTCTCTAAAGCAAACATCTTCCAGTATGGGCCATGGTCCCTTCAGACAGCCAATGGCCCCAAGGGCCCTCATCCTTCACAGGTGTGTTTGAGAAGGCTTTGCACCATCCCAACGAGCCCCAGGGCCATGGAGGGGTTCAGCAGAGAAGCATTTGGAACCCACCTGAGAAGGTCAATGTGGTGAGGCAGCTCTGCCATAGCAACCTCCTTGTGCTTGGAGCAGATGGAGATGAGGTGAGCTCACTGGTACTGAGAGCAGTGCTGGGGATCCACAGGATCCACATGATCCCAGCCAGCATGAAGACAAAAAGGACTTTGTGGCTCCAAAATGCTAACATCAGTCAGCTTTCCCAAGGTGCCAGGCACCAGTGGGGCACTACTCAGCAGAAGGTGACAGCAGTCACCTCAAAGAGCACTCGGGAGAGCAGCAGATGCTCCCTTTTCCTGTCCCTGTCAGGCTCCTGCATGTTCCCAGTCAGCAAAGCCCCTGAGCATGTGGGTGAATCCTCCTGTCTCTGCAGGCACAGCCTCAATGCTGCCCAAGTGCTTTGCTGATTTGGTCCAGGAGACGAAGCACCGAGATTTCCACAGAGCCAGATGTGTCTCCCTGTCCCCAGCACTCTGCTGTCACCCAGCACAAGCTGCATAAGAGGCTCCTGCAGCCCACTCAGTGACTTTCCTTCTTACCTACCAAGAGTGCTTCCACTACCTCCTCCATGAATGACCCACAGGTGACCTCAACACTGCCTTTAGAAGCATGGGATCAGCTGGAACAGCCCCCACCTCTTGCCAGCCCTTCTCTGCCCATGCTGGGTGCTCTCTGACCCCAAACGGGACACTTCCCCAGGCTAGGACCACACAGACATGGTCAGGACAATGCATGGCACCCTGGAGCAGAGCACAGCAGTGAGAGACCCTGCTGGGACCTCAGTGCCCAACAAAAAGGTGACAGCAAAGCCTTCCTCTTCTCCTCCTCCTCAGCATGAAGCCAGCCATATTATTTGTAAGTGAAACCAAAGACCAGCTCAACTTCAGCACCTTCAACAAGCACTAAGCAACACCACAGGGCATCACCAAAACAACCACAGCCCTCACTGGTCCCCTCTGGTCCCCCCCAAACCAGGACAGGGCAACAGATGCCAGCACCACAAAGAGAAGTGAAGCTTGGGAAAGCAACAAACTGGAGATTGGGGCATCATCACCCCCAGGCTGAACAGGGTCTTGATTTAGCTCTGAACCTTGCAGCGGGACCGCCCTGGGGCTCACCCGTCCCTCAGGGGTTTATTCGGATTGTTAAGGCACTATTCTGGGCCGATTCTGCCGAGAAACAGAAGCGTCCTGCTCCTCTGCCCCAGGCTACCCTCCTGCTGGTCCCAAAGGGATCTGAGCTCTCCCAGGAACAGCTCCTCGACTCCAGAGCATCCCAGGAGCCCAGCTCCTGCTGGGATTAGCAGAAAGGGCACGCCAGAACCCAGCTCCCTTAGGGCACCCCGAAACTGAAGCGACAGCGAGCTGCAGATGCCCCGAGATGCAAGGTGGGTGTTTGTGCTTTTGCCTGTGGAGGAGGAAAACCTGCTGTAGGGAAGGAAGACGTGTCGAGGGCTGCTGATGAGAGCATGCTAATGGCTTTCCAATGGGGACATCCACTGGGGCTGGCAGTGGTGGGCTCCTCTGTGGTGCCCACCTCCCAACCCCGTGGGTGAAGAGCCTGACTTGAAAGACCAGCTTTACAGTACAGGGATTCAAGCACCACTAACTAGAATTCGGCTTCGAAATATTGATGCACCGGCCAGCAAGCTCAAGCCCAGATATCCTGCTCCCCCCAGCCTCACCAGCACCCCAGCAGGAAGATGAAGCTGCCGTGTGGGATGATGAAACTGAGAGTGACACCTTTTACCTACACCCCTATGGACGGACAGAGGATTCCCCCCCAGCACCCACGCTCCTTCATGGGGGGGGGTCTTCCTCCTGCTCCCCCTCTGTGCGGAGAATGGCGGGTGAGAAAAAGGAATAAAAACCCAAAACAACCCCAAAATGAGGAGGAAGGGGGGGGGGGGGGGGTAGAGAGCAAGCAAAGCCTTGTCTCCCAGGGGGAAAGGCGTTCCCGAAGGGCAGAGCAGTCCGTGCATGGCCAGGATGGGGAAGGGGCGCCTAATTGTTGTTTGAATTTATCCTCCCTGCAGGAAACAGGGGAGGGGGTGGCGGTAGGTGAGGAGGAGGAGGGAGGGTCTGTGGCAGAGGATGGAGCAGCGGCAGGGGCAGGGGGGACACGCCGGGGCCGGGGGGCAGCGGAGCCGGGCTGGTGGCGGGCTGGGGGACGGCCGTGTCCGAAGCCAAGGGGTTGCTGACGCGGAAACATTTCTCCTTGTGGGCCTTGAGCATGTTGGAGAAGCGGAAGCGCTGGCCGCAGACGTCGCAGGGGTACGGCTTCTCCCCGGTGTGGGTCCGGCGGTGCCGCTTCATGTTGGGCCGGCTGGTGAAGCTCTTCCCGCAGATCTCACAGATGTAGGGCTTCTCCCCTGGGGGCGGGACAGAAGGGGTGAGAAGATGCTGGTTAGGGACTGCAGAGATTTGGTGTCTGGAGACATTTTGGGGTGAGTGTGTGTGTGTGCCTTTCTCCTGTGAGGCAGTGAATGGCCCCACATCCCAGCCCTAGAGCCTGTGTCCCAGCCTGGCAGTGCCTGCAAATTCTCCACTCTCCCCTAATCCACCTCCTGAGGGGCCAAATGACCAGAAGTCCCACGTGGGAGAAATGCCCTTGAGGACCAAGGGGTATTTAAAGGCAAACACCAGGCCATCACATTCATCTAGGCCCTACCTTTGTCTTGGAAGTTCTGTCTGAACCCAGGAGTTGGTAGCTATATATGTGCTTTTCTATATCTTTTCTGTCTTTCTCTCCTTCTTCTAATTCCCTCTCCTTGGAATATTTTGAGTACCTTAACATCGAATGTGTTTAAAGTTTGCTAAGTTGAATGGGCCAAGTTAATGCTGTGAGAAGTATTTTATACTGGTTTGTGGACACACACATTTAGGGAGCTAGGGAATTACAGCTTGGAAATTCTTTTCAGGCCTGGATTTCTCCTGACTCTCAGCTCCATTCCCAGGCTGACAAGCTGACTGCAGCTTCAGTTAGGGAGGAGTCTGCCAGGGTGAGAACATGGTGACAAACAGAGTGGAATTCATAATAAAGATTAACACCTGGTGTCTTTCCCATGGGATACATCCTGAGGTACTTTCCCAAATTTTTCCCAATTGTCCAATGAACTGCTGTCCTGTCCTAGCTGCATGTAACACACTTTAAATATGGGCTGTCTGTACAATAAAGTTAACCTTTTTTCCCCCAAAGAGCTCCGTGTGTGTTGCTGTCCTTTCTCTCTCTTTGCAGCGCAGTAACCACATTGGTTGAATGCTGTACTAAACCTTTTGCCAAAGTTCCCTGATTTTTCTCAAGTTTTCCAGCGAACCTTTGTGTTGTTTTGACCTCTTGAGAAGATCTTGTTGGTATTTCTCCTGTGTGTCCAGCTCAGACATCATGAATCATTGTAAGCCTTCCCAAAAGTTTTGTTGAATGAGTTAATTGGAGCCTTACCATTGCCCCCCAAAACCCCATCCTGCCAAAGAGGTTACCCCTATCCCACCACTCTTTCCAGGGAGAGTCTGACTGCAGGGATGTGGGGCCAGGCAAGGGGGAGGCTCACCCGTGTGCGTCTTCATGTGCTCATCAAAGTACTGCTTCATGTTGAAGTCCTTGCCACACCACTGGCACATGAACTGCTTGTGGCCGATGTGGATGCTCATGTGGGAGCGCAGCTGGTATTTGTACTGGAAGCGCTCGTTGCAGTTCTGTGGGGGCAAGGAGTTGTTGATGAGCACCCAAAACATTCCCCTCAGATCACCAGCAGCAAAGAAATCCCCTTTTTTCTCCCCCAAACCAGCCAGGTTTGCAGTTGGATGGGCTTAGGGTGGGTGCAAAGTCCAGGAACTTGGGGACAGATCCTGGCATTGTTTCATCATAAAGTTGGTGGGACCCTCAAACCAGGAGGTGATGCAAAGTTTGGAAAAGCGTGGGATCACCCCTACAGCTGCACTGGCACAAAGCACAATGGAAGCCCCAAAGAGTGGGAAGTCTTTTCCCAGATCAGTGTGGGGTGACAGGCAGGACCTTACCTCACATTTGAAAGGCTTTTCCCCGGAGTGCTGGAGCGAGTGGACCTTGAGGGACATGCTGCGCTTGAAGGACTTCCCGCAGGTCTCACAGGTGAAGGGCATGTCCTTGGTGTGTGCTGGAGGGGACAGGGCCAGGTCAGGAGCCATCCATCTCCCCACACCCCAGCACACCCAAGGCATCTCTGGCAGATATGTGGCAGCAAGGTTTCAAGTATTTCCCTTCCAAACCCCCATTCTTTTGGATTTCTTTGGTGGCGCCAAGGCCCAGGGACCCAGCCACTGTTGTCAGGTGCAATTTGATTTCAAAGACCAGCACAGGTGTGGTCTGGTCCTTTTACACTGGTTACACTTCAAACCTTCCTCTGATCACTTCTGATCAATAAAACAAATGGGATTCCCCAGCACCACACCCAATCCCAGCACTGAGCAGACATTTGTTCAGTGTTGAGTACCAGGCCAAATTTCAAGACGAGAATGTGAGAAAACTCACTCAAGAGTAAGCCCAGCCCCGAACACCCAACAGGACAGCAACAGAAAACACCTTTTATTGCCAAATTTATGGACCAACACCCCCACCAAGACCTCCCTGTGGTGCCTCCCACACTCACCAACCATGTGTTTGCGCACGTGGGCCATGGTGTAGAACTTCTTCTCGCAGATCTCGCAGGAGAACTTCTTCTCTGCATAGCCATGGACAATCTTGTTGTGCTCGTGGAGAGACCAGAGCTTCTTGAACCCCTTCCCACACGTCACACACTGCAAGGACACAGGAGATGGTCAGGGAAGCAGGAGAAGCAGTTTCATCCATGGAAAGGGAGCATCACTGTGAAAGCTACAGCTGATATCAAAAATCGTAACAATCAGCAAGTCTGATACAGATCTTGTCACTTCAAAACCTCCAAACTTTATATTTCTATCCGTGGGATGAGCAAGGGACAATTACCTTCCAGGGAAGGATGTGGAATCTCCATCAATGGCTGCATCAGGACTTGGATAAGCAACAGCTCATGCCCTATTCTCAACTGGGAATTTTATTCCTAAATGAAAATGTTACATAAAATAATCCCAACCCTCTGTGCGTAGGAAATTTGCAAAAAAATATAAAAACAAGGAGAATCCCAAGCCAGGGCAGTACAACTTCAGTCTTCAGCAGGTATTATGGCTATTTCACCACTAAATTGTTTTTCCAAACAGATCTATGATTCCATGATATCCAAAAGGACCACAGTGGGCCTAAACCACCAGTCCATCAGCACAAGGGCAACAATGTGACATGCAAAGTCTTCCCCAAAAAGTTAAGGTAGAGAATCACTTCAGCTCCAACAAGCTCAATGTTCTTCTGGAAGTTCTCAGGAAAAGCTCCAGCTTCTGTGTGAGAACTCTTGGAGGCATGTGAGACCAGTTCAGTGCTCAGAGAAACACAGGACAGAGATGTCCACGAAGGAAACCATGCCAGGAGCCAAGGGTCAGCTCCTTCCCCTTTACCTTTCCATGGCTCACATTCCTCTTGGGATAAACAGGGATAAAACCATCCCTTCTCTCCTTGCAGATTTGTTGAGAAAATAATTCATGCCTTGAAGATATCTTGCAACAAATTGGCTGAACTGTACTGGTGAACCTGGGGAGGGATTCATTCCTGCACTTCTCCTTCCCAGAGGAACAGATGCTCCTTGATGGGCTTCAACACCAATTTTACCAATTTGTGATACTGTGGAAAACACATCACTATGCTGTGAAGTCACTGTATTTTTCCATATATATTAATATTTAGGTGCCCCAAAGGAAAAATTAGGGTCACAGAGCCATTTTCAAGTCTCATCATCTTCATCTTGCCATACTCAAATGTCAACATGAGTAGTCCTTGGAGTCCTACTGTTCCCAAGTATGTATTTCCACAGATCAGAACAGCTTTATCTCTGTTTTAAGGGATATTTCAAGGCAAATTCAGGACTAGAGCCTGATATCAGAGACACATCAATATCCATTTTCTCCACTTAAAATGAAAGAGGCAGGGGAATTTTAAAATGAAAGGTAAAGGGAAAGCAGCCGAGGTAGAAAAAGCCCCAGGGCTGGGACCAAACACACTGGAGGGCTGAGGTATGTGTCCTCACTGCTGAAAATCATCACTCAAAAATATGGAAGTAATGTCAAAATGAGGGGGGAAAATGAGGATATAAATTCTTGCAGATTAAAAGGAAAACCATACTGAAGCTGGCCAAAAAAAAAGAGTTTGAGGGACAACTCAATAAAGCAAAGGATGAATCACATTTCAGGTGGTAGAGGTAGGATGCACATTATGGAGATGAGGAATAAACACAGGGAGCAGGATGGTGCTTAAATCTTAAAGCTTTATGGATGAAATTTGGGGACAAAATAGGGAAAGAAAGCAGCAGACCAAACTGGGAAAAGATGGATAGTTTCTCCACAGATCTGATTAAAACACAAGAAATAAAAACTATTACAGGCAGAGTGCCAAAAAAAAAAATTCCTTTTCCATCCAGACATAATTCCAGGGGATGCTGATAAAGCTATTAAATATTATCAGAGCAAATGGAGTGGATTTGGCTATTTGTAAAATTAAAAATGCTCAGTTAAGTGGGAGACAATGATCCCTTTTTCTGCAGAAGGAGGTCACTACACAGGCAGTTGTGGTTCCTCCTATTCCAAAATTATCTGGAAATGGGATAAAAAGGAGGGGGGGCAAAACAAAAAACAAGCAATGGGGTGACAGCCCCATGTTATCCACCTGGAAAGCAGATGAAACTGAATCAACATTCTGGTAAAACTCCTTTTTAACTGCCCAAGTTTTATGTTAGGCTCCGAAATAGCCACCACCACACAGGTATTGGAGCTACACTCATCCATTCTGGGAAAGAGCATCCAAAAAAAGCAGCTTCAGTGCTGTGGATTTGTCAGCAAGATGCACCAAGGGGTCAGTGACTGCTTCACCTATGAGCCAAGACCATTCCTGCTTCCGTGTCCCCTGCTTGCCAAGATCTGCCTCATTCCCTATTTTGTTTGGGATGCCATCACTGAAGGGCTCCAGCAGCACTTGGGTTGTGTTATCTTCATCAAGGAGAGCTGTGGGATCATTCAAAATCTGGTCGCTGGTGGGAAGGGTGATGGCAGAAGCTCTCTGTAAATTGGTATATTTGTAATTATTTAGCAGCATCCTGTAAAACAGCTCATCAGGAATTAGGGGACAGGAATTTGGAGGGATCTTCAGGAACACACATTTGCTGCTCTGATTGGGTGCCTCCCTATCCCCCCAAAACTGCACTGCTTTAACAAAGTCAATTTGCCAACACAGGATCTCATTAGCACAGGGGAAGGCCACACTGATCCATGCATGGATGTCAAAGACACTCAGAAATTTGCTAATACACACAAAAAAAGCACAAAAGGCAGATTAAAACCATTTTAACTCCTGTCAGCAAATCTTCAAATTAAGCTAAAATGGGTTCAGCCTGGGTGGGAACACTGGAGTGTGACTCTATCAGGGACTCACAGTGTTTTATCCAGATTAACTGAATAAACTCAAAAGAAAAATTACTCCTCAAAAATTAACTCCGTGTTTCTACCCAGCCAGTCAAGGGGAAGCCACAGCCCCCCGGCACAAATCCTCTGATTCCAGAATACTGTGGGAGCCTCCTGAGTCTGAATACAAGTCATGGGTGAAGGAAGATTCCCTCCCAACCACAACATCAATATTATCTGAGCACGAGCCCATCCCGTGGTACAACTGGGTGGGATGACCTCCAAGGTGTTTGGGATGCCCTTCCCTCACTGGGATGTCCCACAGCAGTGGGATGCTCCTCCTTTGGTGGGATGTCCCCACCTTGATGGCACATCCATCCACTCTGGTGGGGTATTTCCCCCCTTGATGGGACATCCATCTCTAGTGGGATGCTCCACCCCAGGGTAAGGCATCTCCTCCTCGGTGGGATGATCCCTGGATGGATCCATGCTCACCCTGGATGGATCCATGCTCACCTGGATGGATCCATGCTCACCTGGATGTTCTTCTCACAGTCAGTCTGGTGGTGCAGCAGGAGCTCGCTCTCCAGCAGGAAGCGTTTCCCACACTTGTCACAGATCTGCATCCGGCTGTGCGTGACGTTCATGTGCTTCTCCAGGTACCAGCGGTTGTTGAAGATCCGGGGACACTTCTTGCACGGGTAATGCTGCTTCTCCTCCAACTTCACCTTCTGGCCTAAGCTATCTTGCTCCTTCTTTCTCTTCCTTCCCCTCTGGCCCTCTTCTTCCTCCTCCTCCTCCTCTTCCACCTTGGCCATCTCCTGGGACCTGGTTGCCATGGCAGGTTTAGTGGCTTTGGATGCCCTGCTGCCCCTGCGGGGCTGCCCACCCTTTTCCCTTTTCATCTCTGAGGCATCTTCATCGTCATCATCCTCTTCTTCCGTCGTCTCCTCCAGGTCTTCCTCCTCGCTGCGCTCCTCCTCCTCCTCCTCCCCCACCTCCGCATCCTCCTCCTCTTCCTCCTCTTCCTCCCCTTCCTCGTTCTCCTCCTCCCCATCCTCCTCCTCCTCCTCCTCCCCCACCTCCGCATCCTCCTCCTCTTCCTCCTCTTCCTCCCCTTCCTCGTTCTCCTCCTCCCCATCCTCCTCCGTGTCGCGCCCGTCCCCATCCGGCCGCCCCATCACGGCCGCCTCGCTGGCAGCCGCCTTCCCCTCGGTGCCTTTGGAGACGTTGAGGGTCTGGTTGTTGAGGTTCACCTCCACGATGATCTGCTCCCGGTTGTAGGAGCCCTGGCTGTCCAGGTCCTCCTCGGACTCCTCACCCTCCATCTTACAGACAGCACCAGCACCTCCATCCTTCTCCTCCTTGTAGTACTGCTTGGCCGGGCCGGGTGGGAGCGTCCCGCTGCCCGTCCCATCCTCCACCCTCACCGAGAACGGGTCATTGCCCTCCCGGGCGTAGATTTTGGGGTGGGGGGCGTCCACCTCCTGCTTGATCTCGCAGTAGTAGGGCGCGGGCCCGGCGCAGCCCTCGGCGGGCAGGGCCATGTCGGTGGCCAGGCTGAGCGAGCGCGTGTCCAGCAGGTCCTGGCAGGAGGACGCGATGTTGTTCATCTGCAGCACGGCGGCCGCGTTCAGCACGTCCTGCACATTGCAGGAGTTGACGAGCAGCTTGGAGGTGTAGATGAAGTTGAGGATCTGCTGGAGGCCCTGCGAGGTGAGGGCCTCCAGAGAGAGCTCCACGCGCTGCAGCTGCTTGTTCTGGGTGAAGAGGGAGTGGAAGAACTGGCTGTAGGCTGCCAGGACCCCCTTGTGCGCCGGGAAGATGCTCTTGTGCTGCACCAGCACAATGTCCACGTCGCACAGGTCCGGCTGAAAGAGGCGCTGCTCGTTCAGTCTGTCCATCAAACACGTGAAGTGGAGGGCTACATCCTCCACCAGGGAGTACTCAGCCGAAGGGTAGTCAGTCGTTTTTTCGACTATCAGCTGTGGGGAGGAAAGAAATAAAATCATTCGGGGCTCTTTCCCCCCAAAAACACCATTCTGGCCGTGCCATCCATCCCTGTCCATGCATCCCCAAGTCACAGATGCCACCTGAGAAGCTCTAGTGCCAGCCCCAGCTTGGAGATGCCAACCAAAACATTCTGTCGCCAACCAAAACATTCTGTCACCAACCCCAGCTTGGAGATACTAACCATGAAAGTTCTACCATCAACCCCAGCCTGCAGATACCAACCAGAACACTCCATCACCAGCCCCAGCTTAGATATGTCAACCAAAATGCTCTACCACCAGCCCCAGATTTGGAGCACCAAGTAGCCAGACCCAGCTTGAAGACACCACCCAAGATGTCACCAGCTTGAGTCCAGGAGACTCAACCAAGGAGGAGAAGCCTCAGTGAAAGAGCAGGCCAGGGCCACACGAGCACCCACTGATCTCCCTTCAAGGTGGCACCATGGCCACTGAGGGGGTCCAAAGCCAGGCTCAGGTGCCCACACTCACTCAGAGATGCCACACAGAGAGGGGATGCCTTGACCTCTTGAACCAGATGGAGATCGAGGTGGAAATTTGCCCCAAGAAGGAAACCAGTTTTAGACACCTGCTGAGATTTAACCCCCTAAATAAAAGGAAATTAGGATTTTATAACTCCCTGCTTCTACAGATAATGACAAAGTCTAATATCCTCTGGTATTTCTGAATTACACTGTGTGCTCTTGCTCACAACAGCAGCTCACTCACAGCTGGATTCACTGGGATGATTTATGCACTTTTTAATGCTCATTTTCCACTGCCCGGGGAGAGGCACTACCTGGAAAAATTCAAACCAGGGAGCAGCACCCCCAGGCTGGAAAATGCTGTGACTGCCAACCCTGCCCAGACTGAGTTTTTTGAGTATTTAATCCAACTCCCACGTATTTCACATGGTCCAGACCATCCCTGGTCATACCTGAGCCCCAGGATGAGTCTGCCTGCTTCATCCCAAATCCAAGGGATATTCCATGCCCTAAATCCCGTGTCCTGTATCAAAAGAAGGTGGTATATGCCCTTTCCCTCTGCTTCCTTTGCTGAACACTCAAATCCTGGACAGAGGCAGATGCAGACCCCATAACACCCTCTTTCCTGACCTTTGTAGGATGTGACCAAGGACATGGTGCAAAACAGTGGCAGAGAGGGAGGGTTCAACCTGCCAGGTTTATCCTGCACCTCCTGCTCTGAAAACAGTTTTTCAGCTCCCATTTTTTGCTGGAACAAATGGCAACTCTTAATCAACACACAAATTCCAGCAAGACATGTTCTGTTTGTCTTTTTTTTTTTTTTCTGGTGAGCCAAAGGCAAAAGCACACACAGACAAAAATGTTTAAATAATAAAAAAGGGTGTTTTCTTCTCTGTTTTCCCAACAAGCAAAAAAGCTCTTTCCCCTCCCTGCCAAATTTTTTCATTTACATTGGATTTCTGCTCCACAACCAACCCATCCAACCAGTCGGGATCTTAGCTTTGCATGGTCTTGATAGCCCTGGAGAGCCCCAGCAAGTGCTGGCACCCAGGGAAAATATGGAAAAAACAGTTCTGCTCCAAACTCTTGGCTATGGAGCCTGGAGTGGGGCAAAGAGGTAGGAAAGGGGTTGGGTGTTTATATATATTTATAATTTATATATGTTCAATATTTTCAGTATTTCATACATTTCATGCTTAAAAATAGTTAAACTACTTATATATATAAATATTTATATACATAAACATTCTTTTTATATGTATCTGTTACCAAATGCTGCATCCCAGCTGGAACATCCATCCACCCCACCATTTTCTGAGCCTTTCGCGACTGCCAAGAACATTTTGATGAGATCTTGGATGGACCAACCCCCCTCAAGACACGTAGAAAAAATAATTACGGATATAATAAATATCAAAAACTGAAGAGACAGCAGGAATTCAGCAGAGCAGTTTGCTGTTTGCCAGGTTTGAAAAAATAAAAAAAACAAAAAAAAAACCTAAATTCAGGTTTTTCCTCCGGGAATCCATCTCACCTCATTCCCTGCTTAGGATGCCCCAGGGCTGGCATAGAGACAGCCACGGAGGAATGGGTGCAAAATAGAAGAAAATGGGTCTGTGGGGCGGGCATCGCCCAGGCTGGAAAACAAAAGCCGGCTTTTTTTTTTCCCCCTCCGCATCGAGGATTTTTGGCAGAAGGGGCTGATCCCTCACCCAGCGCCGGTCCTTGCCAGGCAGCTCTAATCAGTCCCAGCAGCGGCGAGGACAATGCGTGTCTTGGCCGCGTCCCGCCGGTGACTTCAGCCCGGGCTTGTCAGCGGGAGCCTTTTGCTCTTTATTGCTCTCAGATGCTTTTCGTGAGCTTGCCCGGAGCCAGAGCCCCGGCCGAGACAAGAGGCGCCTGCCGGGGTGAGATGCCGAGAAAAAACCCCAACTTGCCCCAAAATGCCCCTCCGGCAGCTCCCGTCCCTGCAGCTCCGCTGGAGCGGAGAAGCCTGACTAATGGGGATTAATGGCAGGGTTAAATCCGGTGCTCTTCCTCTGGGAAAAGGCAAATATTTGAAATATAGATCCCTTTTAATATCCCTTATATTAAAAATACATATTAAAAAAAAAAAAAAAAAAATAAAATACACATTACGTAATACATATTACATAAAATACATATTAAAGAAAATAAGAATGCTCCTTTGTTCTTTTCCACCATCACCACCCTGCCCCTCTGGCTCTGTTTAAAGCCAGGAGCACCCATCCTATCCCATATCCATCCCCTGGGCAGCTCACTGGATGCACTAAACCAGGGTGAACCCTAAAACTACCGAGCCCCACCACACACTGCCAACCTCTAAGCAAGGTTGTGGCACCATCAGAGCAGAAAACAACCCCTAAAAATTATTAGAAAGCAGCGTGGCCGTGAATTCCGCACCCCGAGGGGCCGGCGGTGCCTCCAGCCAGAGCTCCCCGCCCTGACGCTGCCCTCCAGCTCTATATTAAGGGTTTTCTCGTGATGATGCCAAAATCCCATCCCAAAACAGCTGAGGGCGGCCAGAGGATGGGGAGGATGCTCGGGGCAAGGGATGGGGTGGGATGAGCCCGAAGGCAGGGGATGGAGGAAAGGATGAGTAAGGGATGGCGGTGGAAGGAGATGCTGATGTTCACTGGAGCAGGGCAGCCTCTCTCCAGCCAAAAAATTCCACCTTAGGAGGTGGAGCCCAAGCTCCATTTCCACCTGCACTCTGTCATGTGCCTCCTTTTCCCTAAACAGCCCCACCAGCTCCTGACCACTTGCCCTGAAAAGTGTTTGCTGCTGGATTTAAATCAATGTACTATGACAAAATGCACTTTCTCTTAGCAGCTATTGAGAACGAGATCCCTAAAACGTTCCTGCAGCTCTAAACTTCCCCAAAGGACCAGAAGGTTGGGCCACTCCGGATATATTTAAATACTCAAATCCTCCTCAGTCCCCCAGAAGACCATCTCTGACCTTCACCAACCTCTTCTTTATTTAATTAATTATTTATCCATTTCTAGAGCCCTCATCACCACAGCATTGAGGACCATGAGTAATTCTTTCCCACACAAGCACAGGGACAGGGGGTTTAAGGGCATAAAATTCACATTTAAGTGGTGACAAGACCAGCTGCCTGTGAGCCACTTTCCATTCAGCACAAAATTTGGGGATTTCTTTAAATTTTTCACCCTCAAGATGTACACACACACAAAAAAATCAATCTGCTTTTCTGTATCATTTCCAACCACCAAAGCATTCATAGTTGACCTTCAGTATTAAATTGCATTAAAGAAAAGTGCTTTAATAAGGAGCTAAATACTATGTCAGCACTTGCTCCTAAAAAAAAAAAAAAAGAGTCCCCCATGCCCTCTTCTCAAATTGGACATTGCTGCACTTCAGGCCAAAAGAGCTGGGCTAGAACTATTTAATGTCAAAACTTGACTTTTGGTGCAGAAAGAAATAACATTAAACCCCCGTTTTTACAGATTAGTTGGGATGGCACAAAGGGGCATCGTCACAAATCCCGAACACTCGCACTTTCGGTTTTAATCCTCGGCCTCCTACAACTTGCCCTCTGCCTTCCAGACCCTTGCATGAAACCTTCAGCCTTTTCTCTCTAGTTCTGATGCCATTAGAAGATTTTTTTTCCCCAAAAAATGATGTTCCCACAGCTCTCCAAACCAGGACACACCAAGAGAACGAGCAGCTCTGCCTGGAACCGTGCACATCCCATTGCCAAACCGCCCCTTTCTGGAGCACGGGGAGCTGGCAGAGGGATAAAGCACATCCCAAAAATTGTGGATCCCTCCCCCTCTCCTGTCGCCTACCTTCACCTTTCCGCTGTCCCCTCCCTCCCCGGGGAGCTCTCCGTGGGTGCTCTGGGCACGGGACCGCGCTGGGGGTGGGCTCTGCTCGCTCCTCCGACGGGTGTTTTTATTTAATTAGGAGAGGGTTGTCCGGAAAAACAAGCAGGAAAGGGAAAACAATAGCCCGGCCACAGCCCCGCCTGGCGAGGCGCCGGCCCGGCACAGCCCCGAGCGCCCACCCGAGCATCCTGCCCGCCGGGATGTGCCGCCACCGCTCCGGGGACATTCGGGATGCTGCTGACACCGTCCCAAGCGGTGATTTTTTTCCTCTCTGTGTTGTCTAAAAGGCTTGAGGGTGCTCAAAGCAGAGCCACGTGCAGCTACACGGAGAGAAGGAGAGGGGAAGGGGCTCAGCGATGCTCTCTGAGACTGTCTCATACCAGGGTGTTGGATACCCCAAAAAACACCTCCCAGCCTGTGCTGGGTGCAGAAGAGCATTAAATCAGCTGTGGGACAGTCAGATGCTTCCCAGCCTTTTTTTCCCCCCTCTCTTTTAGTTGTTCCCAGTTTTTTATTAATGATATCCAGCATTTACAGGCTTTGGCTCAAGGATGCTTTTCCCGGGAAGTTGGTAGCAGCACCAAGCCCACCAGTGCAACGGGACAGGGACAACTCCTTCCCCCATCCCTGTCTCTCTGCAACCAAGAGGACACCTTTGCAAAGGGGAAAAAGTTGATTTGGGGTTTTTTTGGAAGCACCGTGGCCTCCAGCAGTGTGGGGAGAGGAGCAGGATGAGGTGGGATGAGCAACACAAAGCTTCACCCACTGGGAGCAGGCACTGCCTTCCCAACAGCACAGCCCACAGAGGGTTAATGGCTTCGTGCTTTTTTATTTCTCTCATATTTTTATATTCTTTACACCCTACCAGCCACTTTGGGTGCTTTCCTCCTTTCCTTTTGCACACAGAGCTGCAAAGCCACTGTGACACTTCCAAGGATGGATGATCAACCCTGCCATCGCCTCCCATCCCCAAATCGTCCCAGCGAGGTGATGCTGCTCCACTGTGATGGCATTGAGGACACTGTCCCTGTGACCCACCAGGGGTGACAGTGAGGGCAGTGTGTGTCCATCGTGACATTGGGAAATTGAACATCATCCCCTGCTCAGACACAGCCTCTGCTGCAAAAACACAGAGGCTCCAGCAACACTGCATTATTTTCATCCCAGGACAAATCCCAATCCCTCCAAGAGAGCAGAGGCACCAAAAGCTGGATGGACACGCCCTTCTGTGTGTCCCTGTCCCCTCGGTCAGGGCTGAAAGAGGTGAGCTCAGTCAGACCCAACACGTGGTGTTAAAGCTCTGCAGGTGATTCCAGAGCCGTGCAAAGCCAGGTCTGGGGTTAAATCCCAAAGGGATGCTGATGGATTTCAGCAGAGCTGGCATGGCCCTGGCAAACCCTGAGGGCAGAGAGGACAGCCAGGCCACGAGGGCCCTGCCAGCACCTGGCACAGCCAGTGACACCCAGATGATGGAGATGTCCCCAAACCACTGTGCTGGCATGGGTGCAGGAGATGGATGGGATGGGATGGGATGGGATGGGATGGGATGGGATGGGATGGGATGGGATGGGATGGGATGGGATGGGATGGGATGGGATGGGAGCTGCCCTCCATCTGTGGGATGCAGGACTGCCCACGGAGTCACTGCAAGGGTGGAAGAGCCCGGGGGACACGCACACACACGCAAAGCCACTGTCCCCCTCCCTCCCCTGCCTGAGAAAAACAAGCAGAGAGAAAACTGAGGGAGGAAACGAGGACAAAACCCAGGACTGACCTCCCCAGCCGGGCTGTCAGCCAAGTGGCTGCACCAGGGGCCAGCTCCAGCCCACTGCCCAGCCCAGAGCACCAGTGAGGCTGGTGAGGAGGCATCACCCCCCAGAGACACAGGGATGTCCCCGCTGCCACTGAGGGAGGGCGGTGCTCAGAGCCCCCCATAGCTCACAGGATCCTCCCCAGGAACCCCAAATTCAATGCTGGGAGCAGGGACAGGTGCAGGAGCAGGGATGGGTGCAGTGGGCAGCCACCCCATCACTTGTGCCGAGCCTGAAGGCATCGTAACCCCGAGCCACCCCACTTCCATGTGCAGCCAGGCAATGGCTGGGAAGGGGCTGGGATCCCCAAATGCAGGGATGGATGGATGGATGGATGGATGGATGGATGGATGGATGGATGGATGGATGGAGGGAGGGAGCCTCCTCCCAAGCTCAGCAGAACGAGGTTTTCATCCAAAGGCAGCATCCAGTGCCCATCCCAGCAGCCAACTCGACCTTCCAGGTGGATCAACAGCCTGGTGGGATGCGACACCTCCAGGGTTTGCCCCACACTCAGTCCTCCATAAAACCCTAAAACCACAACATTTCCTAACCCAACCCAAACTTGCCAAAGATCCAGGGTTGAACCCATCCCAAGATCCTGGGCAGGACTTTGCATACCAGAGCATTCTCTCCAGACCTGGCTCTGATCCCAGGGATAGTCCCCATCTCCAGTTCCATCCTAACCCCAGCCTTGAGTGGGGCTTTTTGGGAAGCACCAGCCCTGCTCCTCTAATCCAGCCATGGAATCTGGACTGGATGGGACCCTAAAGATTATCTTGTTCTCTGCTATGGGCCACCTTCCTTTAAATCCAGTTACCCAGATCAAGGATCTGGATGTACCAGATCCTTTCTGCCCAACACTTTCAACATTTTTATGAACGTGCATGATTTTTATCCTTATTTTTATCACAATTTTTCCAGTAGCTCGTGGAGCAGGGGCTTTAACTCAGACAGGGTGTCAGCAGCCCTGGCTCCAGGCAAAAGATGTAATCATAAAAATAATAATGAAAAAAGACAGTTTATTGTAATTAAGTCTTCCACCCATCACATCTGCGCCACCATGGCCAGTCTTTCTCCATATCCAAAGGCATCCCAGTTTTCATCATCAGGAGAGGTGGATGAACACTGAGTTGGCTGAAGAGGGGACAGCAGCCTCAGAGGACACAGGGACAAGTCCTCAAGTGTCCCCATGGAGGAAACCCAGTGGGGCCATCCCTGCCCTGCACAAACCACTCCAACAACACATCACATTTCCCTTAGAAATAAGGAAAAATTAGGGCCAGGAGGCACAGAGCCTGACCCCGAGCTCATTCTGCCCACCAACATCCACTCCCTCGGTTTTCCAGGGACCCATGGAATGCAAGGGAACATCAAGGATGCAAAGCACATAGAGGATCGAGATATCCACATTTTTGGGGCCAGGCAAATGTGGCAGCAAATTAAAAACTTCATCCCTTGCTCTTCCTGGGGAGTCACTTTGTCACGGCCGTCACCAGGTCCCATTTAAAGGCTCAAATGCAGCAGTGTGGGAGAACCCTCAGCTTTCTCCTCCAGCTGGAGCACGGAGGGAGAACGGGAAAATCAGCAATTCCCCCAAAACCTTCAAAGACCCTCTGATGTTTTGACACATTCAGTTCATCCGCAAAAGGTTTGGGCTCTTTTTTTTTTTTTTCCCTCTTATTTTTCCTCGAGCAGAAAAATCCGCATCTTAAAAATAACCAATATTGAATCGACTCGCGGGCAACCGAGCTCCCTTTTTTCTGCCTTCCTTTTCCAAAGGATCCATCTCCAAAGGCGGCAGCGGGTTATTTTTGTGGAGGGGGTGCCAATGTCTCTGCTCCAGACGCGAGACAGGGAACACTGGGCGGTTTATCTCGCCTGCTGATAACCGAACGCTCCGTTAATTCCTGCCGGGGAGAACAAAGCTCCGCCGTCATTCCAAGCCCAGGTGGCACAAGGGACCCTCCGGTCACCCCTGGAGGAGGAAAAACCCCCGGAGCGATGCTGAGCCCAGCCAGCATCCTCAAGGAAACTCTGCAGCTGGAGGCAGAACGTTTGCACCCAGAAAGATTTCACCACGGATCCAGGGGAGAAAAAAAAAAAAAATTAAAAAATCATAAATCCCTTAGTGTCTTTCCAAGGAGGAATTTTGCTTTGTAAAGCAAATCTTCCCCTGGTTCTTGCCGAGGCAGGGTGTGGAAGGAAGGTTGGATTCCCAACTTTTCCCCCTCTTCCTGGCGGGGCTGCTCGCTTGGGTGGGCTCTGGGTGTCTCCATCTCCACCTCAGGGCATGGAACGCTCCCCAAAGCACCCCGGGGTGTCCCCGGTCCCTCAGCATCACCTCTGGGAAAGGATGCAGGGGGGGTTTCAGCAGGAATTTCACAGGCCGAGTGTGGCTGCCCAGCGTGACCCCGAACCCCATCCCGACCGCTGTAACCCCAGTATCGCTGTCGGGGGGTGCCGAGCCCCATCCCACCATCCCATCCATCACCGTTCCCTTATTTTCCCGAGCTTGCACTTTCTTCCCCTCTCCAAAATTCCACTCGGACGCTTCCCGGGGCGTTAGGACGGGCACGGAGCCAGCGCTGGGGCAACCACAAGCCCGCACTTTTGGGGATGGGGGAGGCTCCGAGGTACCGGGAGCCGCGATCCCGCGGTCACGGCACATCCCAGGGGGATTTCCCGTGGATCTTCCCAGCTCAGGCCTGCCCTCCGCAACTCCAAATAACAACCCCCTCCCAAAAAAAAAAAAAAAACAACCAACTCCACCGGCCGATAAAATAGGTCACTGCTGCAGGCAAGGGGCCCAGCTCTGGTGCTGTTATTATTATTGTTATTATCATCATTATTTTTTAAGAGCAGGACTAGAAAAATCCCTTTCCCGACCCGGAGAGGGGTGGGATGCTGCGCCCTCCCTGCAGCCTCGCTCCTCCGGGATTTTGGGGAGATCCCCACGGGAAAAGGGGGCCCACGATGGGATCCAGCCATAGCACAGAGAGGGGGGGGAGGCGGGCAGGAATTGGCAAAAGGATGGAGTCATCCGGGGAATGGGAATGGCCGAGGAAGCGGCAGCTCCTGCGCCCCCCCCAACCAGCGAATCCTCCGGCCTGGGGGCTCCAAAAGTGTGTGCGTGCCCCCAAAATCCTCCAGTGACCCCCGAGCTGGGCTGGGGTCTTCCCAAGGGGGGGTCAGGCCCCTCCTCGCAGCCCTTCTGCACCCACATCCCCCTCTAAGGCACCCCAAAGGTTGGGGGGGGCGGGTTTTTAATGCCATTTTCACCAAACACAGCCCAATTTCGCCTTGCAGGAGGGGGGACCCCCATGCAGCCCCCCCCAGAAGAGCAGCACCGGCTCCAAACCCCGCCGGGCTGCGCTTTTTGTGCCCTCTCCCCACCGCCAAAATAAAAAAAAAAAAAAAAAAAAAAATTCACGACCCCCCCCAGGCATGGATGCAGCATCGCCCATGCAACCTCCCCCTCCCGCATCCACCTCCGCGCCCTGGCCGGGAATTTTGGGCAAGTTTCGAGGCCTTTGGGAAGTCGGCAAAGCCCCGGCAACGCGAGGAAGCGACGGAGGAAGGAAGGGGAAAGGAGAGGGGGAAATAAAAGCGAGGAGAAAAGGGAGAAGAGGGAAGCGGGGGGAGTTGAGGCTCTACCATTTTGATGCAAAGGTCTCCGCGCTGAGGAGTCCCGGTCCTCCTCCGCTGGCCTGGGGTTTGTGCTCTCCATGAAAAAAACAAGGAATTGGTGGGTTGGGTGGGTTGCTGGTCTGGTGGCTTTTTCCCCCCCTTTTTTCTTTTGGCCGCCTTATTTCTGCTTTTTTTTTTTTTTTTTTTTTTTTTTTCGCCTTTTGGAGGAGGAGGGGGGGGAGGAAATCACCGCGCCAGCGCTGCTTGCATCCCCGTCTCTCTTTTAATTTTTTCCCCTATATTTCTCTTTTTATATTTTTCCTCTCCCCCAGCTTTATATTTTTTCCTTCCTTTTTTTTTTTTTTTTTCTTTTTTTTTTTTTTTCCTCCCCTAATGTTTTCTCCTCCTCCTCCTCCTCTTCACCTCATCCTGCCCATCGCCATGTTCGCCCCTTTTGGGAAGCCGGAGGAATGCGGAGCGGCGGCGGCTCCGGCTGCCAAGAGCCCCGGGGCCGCTGATTGGAGCCTCCGCATCAGCTGGGGCCGTGGCTGCCCCTTTAAAGCGACAGCAGCCACCGCCACCCCCACGGGGACATCCCCCTTGTCCCCTGTCCCCGCACCCCAACCCTTCCGCCACGGCCGCCTCTGCAGCGCAGCATCCCCCGGGAGCATCCCCTGCATCCCCTGCGGAGCGGGGAAACTGAGGCACGCACAAGTGCCCAACCTTAGCGAAAAACATCCAGGGGTTTTTTTTGGGGGGGGGCCATAAAACTTCAGGTTGGGGTATAAGAGCGGAAAAACAGCGGTTTGCTTAAAATGGGATTTTTTTGGGGAGTGTTTTCCCGCTGGTTGGAGGAAATGGGGGTGCCCCACCTGGATGTGTTTAAAGTGTATTTGGTTCTTGGGAGAATCCTCTGGATCCCGCTGTGGTGGGGGAAACTGAGGCACGCAACCCCTCACTCCCTCCCCAAATCCCATAAAAACACCCCAAGGCTTTTTGGGGGCATAAAGCCTCATTTTGAGGTGTCATGGAGTAACAGTGATTTGCTTAAAATGGGATTTTTGGAGTGTTTTCGTGCTGGTTGGAGGAAATGAGTGCCCCACCTGGATGTGTTTAAGGCACATTTGGAGCATTAATTGGGAGCACCCTCTGGATCCCGCTGTGGTGGGGAAAACTGAGGCACACAACCCCTCACTCCCTCCCCAAATCCAATAAAAACACCCCAAGGATTTTTGGGGGCATAAAGCCTCATTTTGGTTGGTAGTGGAATAAGGTTAGTTTATTTAAAAATGGGATTTTGGGTTATTCTCCCGCTGTTTGGAGGAAATTAGGATCCTCCACTGTGTTTAGGACACATTTGGTTATTGGGAGCTCCCTCTGGATCCTGCTGTGGAGGGGAAACTGAGGCACACAACCCCTCACCCCCTCCCCAAACCCAACAATAAGACCTCAAGGATTTTGGGGGCTTAAAACCCTTATTTGAGGAATCATGAGGCAACATTAATTTTTACAAAGGGGGATTTTTGGCACATTCTCCCATTGTTCAGAAGAAATGGGGATCCCCCACTAGGAGGGTGTTTAAGGAACATTTCCTTACAGGAGAAGGATCCCCCAAACCTTGACAGGACCTGTGGGGCACAGCCAGCCCCCAACATCCTCTGAAATAAAGCAAAGCTCTGCCTGGCTCTCCCTGAGGGTGAGCACGGGGTGGATTTTATCATCCCAACACCCCCAGCCTCATCCAGGAGCTGGGTACCCCAAAATCCTCCTTTTAGGGACCGAGGGGACAAAGCTGGAGCCCCAGGAGGTTCTCAAAGAGGCTCATCGGGATGGTGACCACCCCCAAAACCCATTCCTGCCCTCAATCCTTCCTGCAGACACCACTCAAAATGTCAGGGGGGCACGGATCCCCTCCCACCACCCTAAAAGCAGAGCAGCACAATAACTCTGATGAGCACTGGGTGTTGGAATCCTGGAAACCGAGAATTTTAGACTTTCTGTGCTGACTGACCCTCAGGAAAACACTGTGTTTGACCCAATAACCAAACACCCGTGACCCACAATGTGGATTTTTCTACCCAATTCCAAAAGTACCACCTACACCCACGAAGAAGAAGGTGAAGAAGAAAGAAACCTCTGCCCTAAAACCTCAATCTTGCCCTCTATATATCACTATATCCTAAAACCTCAAACTCGAAGTTTTCCACCATGTGATATTACACACTTCTATTCAAACTACACACCAGTGATCTCAGTTCCATCACTCAATTTTGGAAGCTTTCTCCACAGGCTTCAGGTCAAAAGCAGTGTTTTCCTGAGGGTCGGTGCCTGTCAGCACAGAAAGTCTAAAATTCTCAGTTTCCAGGGTTCCAACAACTGGGGGCACCCCCAGAACCCCAGGGATTTCCATCCCACCTTCCCAGCTCCTCTGGCTCCCCCAGCCACTCCCAGCTGCAGACATCCCTGTGGTAACGTCTTGCACTTGTTTAGACTCAGCCCTGGTTGCTGTGCTCAGTAACTTCTTCCAGATGTGAGCAGCTCTTTGCATAACATCCCCGTGGCCACGTCCTGCCTGTGCTGGGTTCATTTCAGAGCTTTTTAAAAGGTTTTGTTGGGTTTGGTTTTTTGTATGTTTTTTTTTTTTTTTTTTAATATAATTTAATGCCCTTTCTCGCTCTCAACCCTGCACTGCTCTACAGGAAAAAATTCCTGGCCAGTGCCACCAGAACATCGTCCCTATCAGAAAGGTTTTTGTGAGATGAGTGACCTGTCTTACATCTGTCTTACCCTGGAAGCTTTTCCAAAAAGCTACATAAACTCCTGGAAATGCAGTGCTGGGGGTGAGATGAGGCTGGAGGTGGGAGACAGGGATTTAAGTTCTGCTCCAGGGCCCAAACCCCTGTGGCCTTTCCATGGATGTGGCACAGGAGAACAGGGAGCTCCAGCACTTGGAGTCCTCACAGCTCTGAAGTATGAAAGTCTGCAGGGGTGGTCAAAGCCCTGATGCCACTCTGAGGGGCTCACCAAGAGGTCCTGATTTTTGGGAGAAGCTGAGCCCACCTCTCCCATGGACATCTGGTCTTTGCCAGGTTCAGTTTTACCTTCCTGATGAGGGAGAAGCCATTCCTGCAGTGGCCACCAAGACAAGGGGAAAAGCCAATGACACCCTTGGGTGGAACCCTTTATTTGAGCACAGTGACCACAGCAGTGCTCCTGAGAGACAAAACACAGGAGATTTCTTGGCCACAACCACCCAGGGGCTGCATGGGGTGTGCTGAAACAACTTCCTGCAGCTCCCTGCAAATCCCACCCAGTTTGGTGAGATCCAACCCTGCCAGCTTTGGGGTCTTTGTGTTGGTTAGTGGGGTATGTGGGTGACTGATCCCTCCTTGGAGCTTCTTCAGCTGCTGGCCTTCCTGACTGGAGGGTAACTCCAAGCTCTTGGTGCCTTCATACAAACTTCTGAAAGTTCTAGAGCCTTCCTGGAGGGGTGTGGGCTGGGAAATAGCTCTGGCATAACTTACAGAGCATCACTGGCCGTGAAAAACGATGAAGGAGAGGTTAGCAGGGTCCACAGAAGGATTGGAGGGTTCAGAGTTTAGGTCAGTTGCTGTTAGGGTGCAGGTTCTCCAGGAAGGCAAAGTTCTGGAGAAACTGGGAACAGGGAGCACGTGGAGCCAGCTTGCTGACACAGGAGAAGTGTTGGGTCTCCTCCCTGGGACTTACCCAGCAGTGTGGTGGCCACTAAAGGGACATCTCCTGTAGCTTTACCTCTTCCCTTCTCTCCCCAGGCCATGAGATGACAACTGCAAGGTCACAGAGGGTCTTAAAGAAAGATCAGCCACAACAGCACTGAGGAAAACGTTTAGGGAAACCAGGAGAGGTTCCTGTTTCCTTGGTTTAACTGAGAGCTGGCATTTCCATTTGCATTTCCATAGTTTCACACTTCTCCAAAGGAAGTGTTGTCAAGGGACAAGGGACAAGGAAAAAACTGAGACCCTGTAAGGGCTCAGAGAGCTTTGGGTTCGTGAGGAGCCATGGAAGAACCTGGAGGTGTTTGTGTACATGGGGCACCTGGGGACACAGCTTGGTGGTGGATGTGGCAGTGCTTGGCTGCTGATGTTGGACTTGATGTTCTTGAGGATCTTTTCCAACCTAAATGATTCTGTGCAGAGCCGAGTGGACCTGGAATGATGAGTTCCAAGGGGGAACCACGGCTCTGCCTGCCCGGGATTCCCTGGTTTTACAGCTGTGCTCTGCTGAGCGTCTCCTGTGGGCTGGAATTCCCATGGAGAGGTGCTCCAGGAGATGGTGAGAGGAGGGTCTGTGGTGTCCACCCTTCCTGAGCAGGTCAGGGCTGGGGCAGAGCAGGAGGGATTCCCTCCAGATTCCCTCGGGACACAGGGTGGAGGCTGGGGACGTGGGCAGCCCTTCAGGGACATATCCTGGGCTTGGCCAGTGGTTTTCAATCAGCAGCTGGTTTTCTGAGCAGGATCATGGAAAAGAAGGGATCAAATCAGGCCAAGGGAGGGAGAGAGAAAGAATAAAAAATAGGGGAAGCAAGAACATTCCTGGAGGCTCTCTGGCCTCTCTCCCTCCAACCTCCTGAGAGGAGCAGGAGGAGGAGAGAGACAAAACAAAAGGCACAAGCAAAGAACGAGCCAAAATAACACTAACACGAGGGTTGTGAGGTCCAAAGCAAGCAGTGCCGGGGCAGGCCCCTTCCCAAAAAGCCGTCAGCTCTCGGAGGAGCCGGGGGTCCTGCAGAAAACGCTGCCCTTTTATGGCCAGGCGAGGAGGGCTGAGCACGGGATCCTGCCCTACTAAGGGAAAACATCTCCTGCTCAGTGCTTGTGAGGAGAACACCCACAGTGAGTATAGACAAGCTCTCAAAGGACGACTGAAATACTGCTGCTCGTGTTGACCCCGATTCTTCTCTTCTTTTTTTCCCTTTTTTGTTTCCCTCTTTGAGTTCTCACTTCTGCCTCCAAAAGTGGGGGGCAAAAAAAAAAAAAATTGAAAAAGCAAAGTGAGGATCCAGGCAGGGCTGGCTGGGTCCAGGTGACACTGTCCCATCATGGGGTGGGGAACAGGTTCAGGAGGGTTGGCTGGGGAGGTGGGTGAAGCCCCCTGAGCTGTTCAGGCAGCAGAGCAGCA